ACCTTGCTTGGACATAGGGAGAGTCTCAGTTTTGATCTGTCCCATCTCTACTGTCTTTTGGAGAGGCAAAGCGCAGTGTTCAAGACCTGACGTGCAGACGTCTAAACTCATAAGTATCAGATTGGAGTAGCTTGAGTTACAGGGTGACTTCAGGTTTTCTGTTGCAGGGTAAGTTGATATTAAAAAGTCAAACAGGAATAATTTGGGCTAAGTTGTAAAGTACACTGAGTACCTTCATGACAGAAACGGCAGCTGAGCAGAGCATGCTGCAGTTTACTAGGGGATGAAACACTACAGTGAGTGATTGGATTTATTTACATTTACTTGCATCATTAGGAGAATGTGATACTGATACTGGGGGTGAGGGGGGGGAGCAAGCGAGACAGAGCATGGCCTCTGGGCTGAAATCCTTCCTGAGGCAAAACAAAGCAAATATTGACACGGCCATCCATCACACAGTGTCCAAGTGCTTGGAAAAGCCTTTGCAAGAGAGCAAGCCGCCTCCTAGAGCTGTGCTCTTTGTGCAAGGCCTCGGGTGCCTGGAAGCAAGAGGCAGCACCCGTGCCCTGCGGTTATTTGGGGCCCGGAGGACAAAGCATTGCAGAATATTCAGAGCGAGGGATGCCAAAAAGCTGGTGAGTCTTCATGAAGGGGGTGGCCAGACCATCTTTCACCAGGGCTCTGTCGTCGGCGCCTTTTGAGAGCGGTCTGAGCTCCAAGCGTTGCCTGTGCGATAAGGGTAGGCTGTGAGACTGTAACGGAACGGCCGTCTGCAGGGGAGCAGGGCTGAGGCAATAGCCTTCTCTTCGTTAAACTCTGCAGCGTTAAGCTGAGCCGGAGTCCTTAGCTAGTAAAAACTGCTGTGCTTCCTTCCATTTCATTTTCAGAAGCATTTGGACAGGACCCTGGGCACTGAGGGAGCATCAGGCTTCAAAAGTCTTCAGCCATGTGGCAATAGGACAGTTTTTCTTGCTGTTAAGATGCTCTTAGATGAGGAGGACTCTTTCCTTGTGAGTGCCGGTGACTTGCACAACCGGTGTATGCCAATACCAGTCACGCAGAGACTGAGCTCTTCGCAGGAGCCAGCTATTTAGACTATCATCAAAATTTCTGATCAGAGTCCCAATTTACTTGAATAAGAGTAGGGAATTAAAAAAAAGAGTTAAAAGAGGGGAAGCAGGGGAACCATGTTTTTGTGTCCTTAAAATTTGGGTTGTTTTGTTTATTTTTAACCAACCCTGTGAACAAGTATGCCTATCTGATGAGTAGTGAAGTGGGCTATTTGGAATAAATCTGTTGACCTTGCTAGAAATTGTGTGAGTATGTGCCAATCATTTATGTTACACTCTCAAAGGGAGAAGAGCTTCATTAAAAAATAAAAAGTTTGAGGATTAACTCTACTTTGGGTTTAGCTTTTGCTATCAAAGGCTTTGTTAGTATGTTGAGGTTTTGTTTTTTTGAGGGTTTTATTCTAACCTATATTCTTCATCCTCTACCTAAAGGGAAGAAAAAAACCCTCCACGTTTCAAAATCCTTTGATCCCGTAACACAGGGCATTTTCATTTTATTTATGGCAAACTATTCCTTCAAATTCAAACCATAGCATTTGCCTGAGCTAGGAGGTGGAACAACTCTTTGGCAAGTGTAAGGATCAATAAATCAGTATAGCTGCCATTATACTGACATTAATAAAATGAGACACTCCGTGATAGCCTGAAAACAAGTATATAACATTAAATTTGTATCGGTGATGAATCAGCCTAGAAATCACTTGCTTGTAGGGCCTGATGACGTGTAGCATACTTCAGGAGATAACAAGCAAATGAAGTGAAACCTGTCACTTGTGTCACTCATTTTTTAGATGGCTGTCGTTCGCAGACATTGAAAATGATTGTGGTTTGGTGAAGCTGCTCCTGAAGCTGTTGTTTAAAAAAAATAATGTCTGACAAATTGACCAACATCACTAATTTGATAAAAATTATCTTTAAATCAACTCTTCTTCTGGGAAGACCTGTATGTTTTAGTTTCACTTGACCAATGTTTGCTGTATATGAAAACCTGTGTGTTGGTAGACACAAGCTATGCCAGCGTGAATTAGTGCAGCACTGCACAGCAAAGTACCGCTTGTTTTTAATCACTCATGTGTGCCCTTAGCAAATATCGAATTCAACATACCTATGCAAAAGAGGCTGTGGCATAAAGAGTAGCAAAAAGATGATGATGAGCTACGAAGCAGGCTGACCAGTTTTGGTCTGTCTTTGTTACACAGCCTGGCTGATGGAAGCAACCTCCTCTTGACTTGTGGTGTTAAACAAGTTTGGACAACAGTAAAATATTCTCCAAATGAATTCCCTGTTGTGCAGCTCTGTAGATACGTGTGTTTTCACAGAGGAGACTGTGCCCTTTGCAATATCCACAACAGAACTTCCTTAGAGAAATAATTAAATTTGTGCTTAATTTAGAATCCTCGTCTGTTAAAATATTTCACAGATTGTCCTTTAGGGAAGTGGAAGAGCAAAAATGTCGCCTACACCTTGCAGATGATGCCCAGGAAATCTTTGACTATTGGTCTCGGTTTTAGAGCCTGGCAGTCAGGCATCTTGCATGTTTGCGGGAGTGGCTTGGTTGTTAGCAGAAGAGGAAATCTTTCATCACTGGCCAAACATGCACATTTTTATGAGAACTCGGTTACAAAGACTAAGGAAGGCAGCGTGCCTGTGTAAGCTGCTGCTCCAGATGGGAGCACCTGGGAGAGGGATGGAGGGGATGCTGCAGCGTGGGGTCTCTGGCAGCAGAGCACCAGGCAGGGCTGGGGAGGAGGAGGAGGAGGAGCAGGACCACGCCTGTGAGTTGTACTTCACCTGTCTTAAATTCACAGCTGTGTCAAACGATTCCAGGTATGCTGCTGGGTCTATATCTTTCTTGTCACTGCTGACTACCGAAATGTCCTATGTATTCTGTGCCTCTCTTGGTGCTTTCCTCTTTGTCATATCAAGTAGCACCCAGAGCCTGGGGCCAGAGAGAGAAGAGGGCACAGGAGAAGGAGAAATGTTTGCTGCTGGTTTGTGCTGTGATCTCCATCAGGGATGAGCAGGGTGCACAAAAGGGTTAGTTTGGTCTCTCTTCCCCTTTTAGACTTCATACTGTGTCTACTAAATCTGCAGCTTTATTGTCTATGCATTGCGTAGCTTTTGATCTTTCATATGCATTAGCTTGCTTTTTTTTTCCAGTGGAGCAGTTGTCATGTGGTCTCCAATTTACATGAACACTAAACAGAATGACACAAAAATGAAGTGGCGTTGTAAGGAAACCTATTAATAGCTTTGCAGAGAGGCACTGACGCATCTCAGATATAAGAACTTGGAATTAAAGCTGAGGAGAATAGTCATCTTTGCAGACGTAAGTTTTCCCAAAATGAGCAGTGAAGTTAAATGCTTAGTTAGAGATGCTTTCAAAGGGCTGTGATTTTTCAGGTAAAGTTTCTCAAAGTCAGGCTTGCCTGAAACGTCTCAGCTTGGGCTGATGCAAACTGAGACAAAAGTTTCTAATCACTGTTGGGAATTTTGGCCAAATGGCTGTATTCAAAACACTGCCGAGCAGTGTCATAGTATACCTTCTGTTTTCCTTGGTAAATATTTGTTTTATTTGACAGGTGGTGTTTCCAAACAAAAACCTGGTTTTAGTATGTTTCTGAAACGAAACGCTGGCAGAGAGAGGTGGTTATGGATGGAAGCGCGGAGGGGCCAGTACTGCCTGGGATTCCCAGTGCTTTTTGCGTGGGTGGGTGCTGGCCTGCCTCCCCGTGCACCTCCCTTTCTGGACCTCTGCCAGGTTGGGGTGCACTGCATCGTTTATCTTCATTCTGGGCTATCCAAATTGCATCAACTTAAAAATGCCTATTGTAGACAAAGTAAGTTATGCCCTCATCTTCCGGATGTTGATCTGGTTCAACTGTGATATCCCTAAGTTAAGCATATTAAGATTAATTTGTTGTTGGTATCATGCTGGGTAGAGGCTTGCAGGTGCTCCATGAAAAAAATGTAATTAAGAACATTAGTTTAGTTCAATGCTTAACTGCAGTGTACAGAGCAAGCTCATAGTCTTTTGCTGGTCACCTTGGTAGAGCTCTTGAGTCCGTACTTCCTTTGCTGCAAATGTACAATTCCAGTATTATCCTATAATCCCCTTAATGGAATATATACATATTTGGAATATATGCTTACCAGAACGGTGTCTGTCTCATGAAGTATGCATAAACGGTGTATTTTGAAACAGTTACTTCAGAAATGGAAGCAGAGCCTGTTATTGATGAAGCACAGGAGGTTTTTGCCTTTTGGTTTCATCAAGATACCTAGTTTATTATGATTCCCCAATTACACACGTGGGTAAAGGAACAGCAAGGTCAGAGGCAGGACCAGAGGAAAAACTGTCTCTATTTTTGACCCAGATGTCAGAGCTGCACTGCAAGATGCTGGGTTCATGTGAGATTTTGGATTTATTTTAAACACAGCCAATTACCTTTCTGAGACAAATCTTTCCCAAACGGTGTTCTTTAAGCTATTGCAGAGCATCAGAGTGGTTTTTACCTGGGGATTCCATCAGGCTTTTCAGTTATTACTGATGGCGAACAAAACCATCTCTGCATAGGAGTGGGGAATTTACGGCAAAGGCTTGCTCAAGGCGTAATGGACTCAACAACAGAGATGGAAACAAATGTGCTTTTAGTCTTCCTGTTTTTTACAGTAGCATATGTCTCTGTTTCTCTAGGGTTGCCCTGTCATTTCACTTGGTGGTTTGTTTTTTATTTTTTAAAGCCACCTCAGTGATACTAGTTTTATTTTAACACTTGTCAAACATGAGATATTTAGTTCACTTTAGACAGTACAATGTAATAGGTCTCATCTGTCAAGTGTTCTCAGTCACGTAAGGTATGGATATTTATTCTGAGAGGAGAGCACAGAAAATATGGTCTGTGCTCAGGTTTTCATTATTTCTTACAGGACACAGATATATCAGCCAAGCTGCAGCTAAAATTGATGTGGATTTTGATTATGATGGACCTCTAATGAAGACAGAAGTTCCCGGACCACGGTCTAGAGTAAGTTCCCAAAGTATAGTAGCTTCTTTTTTTTTTTTCTTTAGCTGTGTTTAACTTGCTAGAAAACAAATTCATGTCAAACCTTAAATCTGATATGAATTAACATAATTTTGCAACAGTCTATGCCCACTTTTATCAAGATGCTGAGAATGAAAAGCTTATGAATGAAATGCGCCTCTCAGAGAGAGATCTGAATCTCAACTGCCAACTTCCCATATGAAGTAATTGAAAGCAAAAGAGCATCAGTTTGATGAAACATCTCATCAGGCTTGGTTACTTGTGCTCCTGCTG